GTAAATTTAGACTAGACATACCCACTTGAAAAAGAAAGATTATAGAATATTGTGGTTATACAGTCACGTGGTACATCTTGTACACGTATTATAATATTAGTGGATATTTATTGATATTATTCTCTAAAAAGGGAAAATAAACTTTATCGTCCACCCATATTATAACACATATATAAAATGTACCACGTGACCATACTATCGTAGTATTTTATCATTTCTTTTTAAAAAGGTACTTTTTTAAGGACAATTATTTTCTCATATCTACTAATTAAGTTGGTTCAATAAATAGTGTTCCAAGATAATTGTTGTCTACAAAATAATTGCATTATATAATATGCTATAATATGGCCATAATAAGACAAATTGGTGTGAAGTTATTATTAAAGCGATCAAAGAGACCCTCCCACAGATCCTCCTAAAGCACATTTGAATTTAAAATTCAATGAGACCACAAAACCTTCGATCTACCATCTCATGCCATTTGTGAGTTAAGACTTATGAATCGATGAATTTTACTATTCTAGTCTCGTATTAAAGCTTGATTTATTTTCAAAGCTAGTCCATCTATAACTTTAAAGAACCTTTTGGTGAGTTGGATTATATAGTTGTATAGGATTCATAATCATAATCAAATGTTTGATGGCTTAAAAACAAAATGGGATTGAATTATGTCTAATCATGCTAAAGCCAAATACAGTAGCACATTTCAATTAATCCTACCAAAATGTTGGGATTAAGTCAGATTGAGAAGTTATTTTTTATTCTGCCAAACAGTATAAAAAACACTTTAGTTGTCCAAAATATATATATGAGAATTTAACGTATTGTGGTTTGAAAGAACAGGTGTAATCCAATATGGGAGATTAATCATATTGTTTTTCATCTAATGAGTAACGACTGCTTATCAAAAACTGTACTTAATTGACATGTAGATATGACAGGGATGGTCAAACCCAATGAAGCGTAAAGGAAAATATATATATATAATATATTCACCTGATCATGCAAACAGATGGCAAAATATATAATTGATTGGATTCTGTTCCCGTTGAAAATTACCCCCACTCCTCTTTCATCTTCATCTTCATCTTCATCTTCATCTTCTCATTCATAAAGTAGTCAGAAACTTTTTTCAATCAAACGTTTCCCAAACCATTTTATTCTATTTTGAGCTTGGCCTAACCATATTTTTAAGAACAGAAAAATAAAATTTTTTTCTTATCAAACAATAAATGCATAGACATTTTCACATGTTTTCATACTTTTCATATTTTTTTTTCAAAACATTACATTAATTGAATTGAAAAATCTGTTGGGGCACAAAATATTAAAGTAGCAAACAAAGCTTTTCAAATAGCCACGTAGGTCAACAAACTTCAATTTGAAGATTCTCGTAGCATTGTAGAGTCACCCTAGCTTAAAACGATGATTGGACTTGTTTAGAAGCTAATTCTACTATGATTGAGCCTACCTATGATCATCACGCCCATACTTTAAGGTTAAATTTTACAGTTGTATGGCATTATGTATGAAATTGAGGGAATTATGATATAATCCATAATTTAATATGAAATTAATAAGTCTTGTCAGTGGGGTTGTCATTAATTCTCTCTCTTTCTCATACTAAATTACTAGTTGAAGATTACAATAATTATAAGGATAAATATATGATTATTGAAGCACACCTTGCAAGGCTAAGTTCAAGCTTATGATTGATTAAGCATTTATGCGGATTACTTTTGCTAATATAATCCATCTTCCTTTTTCTCCTTTATTCCCAACTGAAAACCTGGTGGCCTTCCTTTCCTACTACAACCAAGCACACATTGATGGAATCTAAGCAACATTTGCGGCCCTTTAATTTATGGCATTGGATTTATCCTTTCTTATTTATCAATTATTGTACATTTCATAAGAGTGTCAATTGTTAATGCATGTAAATGTGTGTAATCTGCTATCATGCATGATTGACTGACTAACTCAATTCTTTGCTTTATGTTTTCTCTAATTAAATTAAAAAAAGCTGTAGAATATCCTAATTAATTTAAAGGGAATTGAGAATATTATAGAAAAAGACAAATATATACCTTGAAAAAAATGTGTTAAAGAAGGAGCTAAACCAGAATATTAGAGGGCCCTAACCGCCCCGATGATTTGGGTATTTGTCAAAGGCATGGAGCCGTGTTGGGGCCTTGGGTTAGGTCGGAGGTCAGTGTATTTACAGGCTGCACGCTCATGGCCGGTTGCCCAAATAAAAAGCAATAATCCAAAATAATCCAAAAATGTCCATATATCCAATGTAATTATGACAGTTGATAACAAATATGGCCTTTCTTTTGAAAACGGTCCTACCCCCAACTCAGAACCGCGCTTTCAGTTTTAAGTCAATATAGGCAAACGAAATGTTTCGCGGCCCAAACCTTTCACATTGCAATTTCTATGTACCTTCCTAGACCCTCCAATAATGTCGAAGAAGTTATTACTAGTATGACATGTTATGTTATCATGTTATCAATCCGAATCTCGTATAGTTTAGTTGTCAAAGAAGTTATCATTTTAGTATGACATATTATGTTATCATGTTATCAATCCGAATCATGTATAGTTAAGTTGTCAAAGAAGTTATCATTTCAATATGACGTATTATGTTAACACGTTATTAATCTGAATCGCATATAGCAAAGTTGTTGAACTTTGTTCGCTTTCTTCTTTTGAGTTTGAGTGGTAATGGAAAAAACTTAGTTGGAAACCAATTAGTGGTAAACACTATTAACAAGTCAAGAAAGCCGCCTAACATCACCAAAACTGGGTAATGATGATTTTTTGAGGTCTGTTATTGGACGGTGGGTTTGGTCTTTGTAGGGTCGTCTGTGATTCTTTGTGTTGTTTGGGAATGTAGGGTCTACGATGTGCTTGCTATCTCTTTAGTTAGGATGGTTCTTAATTTCTTGTTCGTTTCTGGCCGCTGCTGGGATTTATAATTATTCGACTTTCTTTTTTCTTTTCTCTCTCTGTTTCTGTGTTTCTTGATTACGACTTCTAACTGCTTACTTCCATTTTTTCCTTCTTGATTTGAAAGTATGTAGTTGAGGCATGGGCACCACCTATATTATTCCTGCTTGACTTTGCGCTCTCTCTCTCTTTTTTTTTTTTTTCTGTAATTATGTTTGATTATTTATTTAAATCAAACAAAAGGTAAAGAGTAAGAAATTTTGATCGCCAAACCCATTGGCCGAAAGCTCCTCATCTATTGGTAGGCCACTAGAGCTCGCTCACTCTAAATGGTTTGAATTCAACCTGCAAAATAATGGCTAAAAAAAAAACACACACACGGAGTAAATTTAGACTAGACATACCCACTTGAAAAAGAAAGATTATAGAATATTGTGGTTATACAGTCACGTGGTACATCTTGTACACGTATTATAATATTAGTGGATATTTATTGATATTATTCTCTAAAAAGGGAAAATAAACTTTATCGTCCACCCATATTATAACACATATATAAAATGTACCACGTGACCATACTATCGTAGTATTTTATCATTTCTTTTTAAAAAGGTACTTTTTTAAGGACAATTATTTTCTCATATCTACTAATTAAGTTGGTTCAATAAATAGTGTTCCAAGATAATTGTTGTCTACAAAATAATTGCATTATATAATATGCTATAATATGGCCATAATAAGACAAATTGGTGTGAAGTTATTATTAAAGCGATCAAAGAGACCCTCCCACAGATCCTCCTAAAGCACATTTGAATTTAAAATTCAATGAAACCACAAAACCTTCGATCTACTATCTCATGCCATTTGTGAGTTAAGACTTATGAATCGACGAGTTTTACTATTCTAGTCTAGTATTAAAGCTTGATTTATCTTCAAAGCTAGTCCATCTATGACCTTAAAGAACATTTTGGTGAGTTGGATTATATAGTTGTATGGGATTCATAATCATAGTCAAATGTTTGGTGGCTTAAAAACAAAATGGATTGGATTATGTCTAATCATGCTAAAGCCAAATACAGTAGCACATTTCAATTAATCCTACCAAAATGTTGGGATTAAGTCAGATTGAAGTATGTCTAATCCTACTAAGCCAGGTCATAGTACATTTCAATTAATCCAACCCTATAATCATGTGTAGTACCACACACATAATTGGACTAGTGTCCAATATAGTTTAATGCAATCCAATTCTACCTCGTAATCCAATCCCAGTAACCAAATATGGCCTAAGGACCTCGTTTGGTGGACCGATCTGGACATAATTATTCCAATCAAACTAGATTAGAATAGTCCCCTATATTTGGACAAACAAACGCGTACCACGTTGATGACAAATCTTCCCGAGCTAACTTACAGAACGGATTGTTATATAGATTGTTCTTTTGCCAATCTGTATAGAGATTGAAATACGTTTACGTTTTACACACACGAAAAGTGAATTTAACAGTTTTAAATGTCCTCGAGCATCTTTAACAACTTTGAAATGCTAAAATAGGTGAGTCATATCGTCAAAACTCTCTCCATCAAAGCTGAAACTTCTTTCTCTCTCTTTAGGACTGGTAAGTTACTTTGACTCTTCAAATTATTTAATTTTACTTTGAAAAAATAAAACCTACTTTGAAAATGTTAAAAGCATGCATTTTTTTCTTATCAAACAATAAATGCATAGACATTTTCACATGTTTTCATACTTTTCATATTTTTTTCAAAATATTACATTAATTGAATTGAAAAGTATGTTGGGGCACAAAATATTAAAGTAGCAAACAAAGCTTTTCAAATAGCCACGTAGGTCAACATACTTCAATTTGAAGATTCTCGTAGCATTGTAGAGTCACCCTAGCTTAAAACGATGATTGGACTTGTTTAGAAGCTAATTCTACAATTGGGCCTCTTTTTGTTTGTCTCTCTCTTTGGCCCAACTAAGCCCACATTTCGGCTCATCACAAACAAACCAGTGAGCCACTGACACACACAATATGCGTCATATGGCGGTGGCGTCACCGCTTTTAACTTCACCACCAACAGTATCTCCATTTCTCCGACAAACCCGAAGCTACAAAAGGACCTTAATCCGGTCGTTCTCATCAGCATCATCGCCAATGGACCTTCACCACCCAAAACGAGTCGTCGTATGCGGCGGCGGCGTCATAGGCGTGTGCACCGCTTACTTCTTAGCTAAAAGCGGCGCTGCGGTAATTGAGGGAATTATGATATAATCCATAATTTAATATGAAATTAATAAGTCTTGTCAGTGGGGTTGTCATTAATTCTCTCTCTTTCTCATACTAAATTACTAGTTGAAGATTACAATAATTATAAGGATAAATATATGATTATTGAAGCACACCTTGCAAGGCTAAGTTCAAGCTTATGATTGATTAAGCATTTATGCGGATTACTTTTGCTAATATAATCCATCTTCCTTTTTCTCCTTTATTCCCAACTGAAAACTTGGTGGCCTTCCTTTCCTACTACAACCAAGCACACATTGATGGAATCTAAGCAACATTTGCTGCCCTTTAATTTATGGCATTGGAATTATCCTTTCTTATTTATCAATTATTGTACATTTCATAAGATTGTCAACTGTTAATGCATGTAAATGTGTGTAATCTGCTATCATGCATGATTGACTGACTAACTCAATTCTTTGCTTTTTGTTTTCTCTAATTAAATTAAAAAAAGCTGTAGAATATCCTAATTAATTTAAAGGGAATTGAGAATATTATAGAAAAAGACACCGATCCCTCACCACTCTCAGCCTCACCGTCACTGAGTCTCAGAGCTCGAAACCCTCTGGAAAGTCCGCTTTGCCGTCCTGGGTTGATGGGCCGGGTCGGAGCCCGAGAACCATCGGGACCACGGAGACCACGGCCCAGGTCCATCCTCAGCTCTTTACCCGGACCTTGATTTCGAAGGCGGCGGAGGATTATGGCGTCGACGTGGTGATTGGGAAATTGGAGCACTTGGGAGTGGACGATGGGCGAGTGAACTCGGTGGTTTTGGAGGGAGGACGAGTGATTGACTCGGACGCTGTCGTTTTGGCGCTGGGGCCATGGTGTGGGAAATTTGAGCTGTTGTCGTCGTTGTTCAGAGTGTACGGTATAAAGGCTCATAGCATTGTGTTGGAGCCTAAAGAACCTGAGGCTATAACCCCTCATGCGCTTTTCCTGAGTTACTATCCGTCTCAAGGAGGAAAGCCCTTGGACCCAGAAGTTTACCCTCGCCCCACAGGTACCAAAGTTCCAACCTTTGATTGACATTTTACAATGATCAAAATATTTCAATTTATTTGATTCGGAAAAAATAACGCATTCTGATCATTTTTTCTTATCTGGGTATCCATATTTCAAATCATTTGATTAACATGTTAAAGTAATCTGAAGAAGTATACATTTTGATCAGTTCTCTCATCTGGGTATCTTAAAACTAGTATGCTTGCAAACTAAAACTGGTTGAATATTTCCAACAAGACAATGCCTGGCGTTTCATAACAATGCTTCAACTTCAAAAGGGCTAATCTGGCATGATCTATTAGCAAAACCTTTTTCAAGTTTAGTGACTGTATGGTTGATTGGATTTGTGAATTGCAGGTGAGGTGTATGTGTGTGGGATGTCCGCAGAGGCAGAGATACCGGATGATCCGGAGCAAATAGTGGGCAATCCGGAATCGATAGAGATGCTGAAAGGGGTGGCAAGCAGTGTGTCAAGCCATTTGAGAGAAGGAGAGGCACAGGTGAAGGCAGAGCAAGCATGTTTCCTGCCCTGTACTGATGATGGTGTCCCTGTGATTGGGGAGGTGCCAGGGGTTAAGGGGTGTTATGTGGCTACTGGGCATAATTGTTGGGGGATTCTAAATGGTCCTGCCACTGGAGCTGCTGTGGCTGAGCTTGTGCTGGATGGGAAAGCTAGCATTGTAGATCTCAGTCGGTTTAGTCCGGCAAGATTTGTTGGGCTTAAGAAGGGTTAAGACATTAATCTGGTGTAGACAGATTTAGAGCATTGAGGAAGTGCAGTGAAGTAATGTTGTATCTGGAGGTAAATTAAATACAGGTTCATTTTCTTTTTTATCTGAGAACTTTGAAAACATATCCACACTTAGATGTTGTATATCTGTCGACAAAAGCAAAATGTTAAAGAACTTTTACTCATATCAGAGTAAACTGATAATATCTTTTTAAACCACTGCGTGTAGCTTTTTTTAATTTTCAGTTGAAGGTAAGAAAGAATCTGCATATGGGCGTTGGGGTTGCTGATTCTTTTTGTTTAGGCAGGCTGTATTTGATCTTAGTTAGCTAGCAGTCAGGAATCAAGCAGCGGCGGTCAAAAGAAATAAGCTGTTGCAGTTGCCAGCAAGCAAAGCAAGAAAGCATGTAGCAGCTGAGTATGGTAGTTGGAAGATAGTTAAGACTGTCAGGACTTTGTGTAATTAGCTGTAATTGTTTGTTCCCTGCCCTGTGCGAGAAGCAACGCAAAGGAATGCGGTTGTTTAAGTACAAGCCATTGTAAAAATGACTGATATTCATGAAATGGAAGATTACAAATTAGTAGGCATCAGTCTTCTTGCCATCCAGCTGGACCCTTTTCTTTTTATGTTTTATAGGTCTGGTGCTGGACCCTTGTTGCTCTGGAAAATTTGCACACTAATGTAAGTTTCGGTTCTGGAACCAGGGCTATTCTGAGAGAAAAACATATATGTACCGGAGATGTCATTGTGGCAGTATGTATTCTAACTTTCTTATACTACACTGGCGGCATCCCGAATAATACTACACATAACCAAAATAATAAATAAATAAAAACTGATAATATTGATAATGAATTATTTTAATTCTTTAAATACTTGAAGGGTGCAACTCAAATAGTTTTATTTTGTATTTACATTGCATGTTTTATTATTTTATTATTTTACTAGCTTATGTATATTAGATGTATTTTGAGGGATATGACTTGTTATGTCCTTCCTATCTGAGTGTATTATTTTTTGTTATCAATAAAAGTCGCTCATGCCGTTGAGTTTCTTTATCGTTGCGTTTTAATTTATTTATATTACAGATTACAGTACATGGTTGGCTTGAAATACCATGTGGCATCCCCTATTATATAGCATTTTTTACATGAAAGTTCTTGTAACCCTGCCTTATCCTGTTACTGAGAATGCAAAAATCAAGCATTGGCCTTTAAGGTCTCGTGTTGTTTGGGTCAGAATTGTAAGCCCATTTTTCTTATTGTTAAGAATCCATGCATACACGTTAAAGAGGCTAGTACTTGCGCACGTGGAAATATGCAAGCTTTAAACCCCAAACCAATGAGTCGCTCATTGTTGCCCGAGGCACTCTACTGAATGATAACATGTTGAAAAATATTAGGTTTACCACACTTTCATATCATATATCATATTGTGCATCATCTCTACCTGTATTAGAGAGATGAGATGATACATAATGTGGTATATAGCATTTTGAAGTTATACTTTTTCTTAAATGAGAAACGAATGCTATAACTGTTAGAAATGAATGCATTATGCATATCGAGTTGACACTCTCTCTCATTCGGCTCCAAAAACAAAAAAACGAAAAAAGTTTACACTCTTTCATATGCATGCTAATCTTGCATGTGAAGAGGACGACCGATAGGAGAAGAAAGACAAACATGTAGCTGCAACCCTATTATCTACCATGCAAACAAATCAAATTTATGACCTCGTGCAAAGAAGAGTCTGACATCATGTTAGACAATCACCAATTTTATGAAAAAAAAACTTAAACAAACAAACAAACATACATCAAACTTACAAGACCAAGAGAGGGATTGTTCATTGTTCCAACTTCCTACTATAAAGAGTCCTCCTCACTAACAGCTAAAGTTGTGTCATTCCATGCCCACTAGACACCAAATTTGGTGAGCAAATGTGTAAGTGATACACATGAGCTGGGCGTCCTTTGTGTTGTGAGAGTTAATAATTTGAGGAGGGAACCCACATGCCAAAGGAATTAATAAAACGCAGTCAAGAAACAAGCCGTTGTTTAACAGCTTAGCTTAACAACACCGCCTCAATTTAATACTTTATAGTACAATCTCTCTGACTCCAATACACATATATTGCTTGGGAATAATATATCTATAAATATTTTTTATGATATTTTATATTGAGACGAGCGATAATATATTAAATTCACACACATTACATAAATGCTAGAACTCGAACCTAAAATCTTATCTAAAAAAGTAATTGCTATAAACCATTCAATAGTAAGAATAATAGAATTTTAGTTATATGAAAAACTAATGCTAGCTCACATCATATCATTATCATCATGACTTTATTCTCTTCGGATAGGAATTTTGTTCCCCAATAATAAAATAAAATATTATTATTATTATTAGGTGCATTAATTGTGATGAAGATTTTTCCCAATAAATCTGTGCCAAATGTTTGCTGATCCCCAATGTGTGGACACAAATTAAGACAAAAATGATAGGAGATAAAGCAAGCAAAAACCATGTTTTTGCTCACAAGTTACATTAGAAAATTTTAAACCCAATTTGTATTTAATTAGTGTACTAATCTAAGTTGATGGGTTGAGTTGTTTACTCTGTGGCTTTGTGCTCACGGGGTCGACTTCATTTACCGAAGCTTGACCAACTAATTTCATATTAATTCAATTCAATGTGTTCATTCTCTTCTGGTCTCATTTACAAATTACATGCACTTAAATTAAATTAAATTAAATGGCGTAAATAGCAAGTGATATAGCACGTGCTCTTACAGCTTAGATTAGCTTTTCAATGGGATCCAAGTGGGTTATTAATTATATTTGGAGCTACGTATGTGCTTAGTTTTATTTTTATTTTAGGGTTTAATGCTGCACTAAGCATCATTTTGAACAAGATAAAGTGATGTTTGGTCAAATTTATTTTATGTAATGAGTAACAACCATTTCAAGACATATCAATGCCTCTTTGAAGACTTACAGAGGGGTCTTAGCCCATTTGTTGGTTTTTACAGATTACTCATCAAGAGAGATTGTCGACTGCGGGAATCGAATCTAAGCTTGGATAGTGCAAAGAAAACAATCCTTATCAGCTCAACCAACCCTTATTGACCTATTCACTTCAAAGTAATAATAAGTAGACAATATTTCTTCATCGGGGAGAATAGGTATATTTTGTCTACTCATTTACTTATTTCTTTGCCTCTTCTCTTGGAGATGCTTATTAGGCATAGAAGCCACAGGGACAAAGCCAAAATCCACTGCTGACTGCCCTACCAATCACTTGAGAATCCCAGCGCCATACTTATGGTTATGGCCCAAAGGTGCCCATGTTTACTATAAAGTCTTGGATATTTCTAATTTATAATTGCTCTCTCTCTCTCTCTCTCTCTCTTGAACTGTGTATGTGATTTATCAGTCCTCAATCAGTTCCACAGTACATTAACAAAATTTAACTGTTTTTTCTTCTTTTTCACCAAACTTGGTAAAGTAAATTTTTGACTCTTTTGATGATTTGCATATCATTTTTTTGGTGACATGACATAGAGAGAGGTCTAATGGAAAGGACAGCCATAATTCTTTCTCTATTGGAAGGGGCTAATTGAAACATAATTAACCTCTTTATTCCCCCAAAGTTTGACCAATTAAACAAATTTATCGCTGACATAGAACCCCATGCAAATATATAAAATTACCCTCATCATGACCTATAATTAAGAAAATGTGGTTCATAGGATACTTCTTTCTTAACCTTATTGTTTAAGACTTTTGGAACAAATATTCTATTAATTTATTACATATGTTCAACCTTCAAATCCACAGGTCTGAAAGCAGCTTCTACTGTACTGATGGAATTTATGGGTTTTCCTCAACTGGTTGTTGTGCTCGACGATCAAGAACTCAACTCCACCACCTAGAAATTAATTCAGACTTTTTTTGTTTTTTTAAAATACAACATAAGCGATAAATTACTTTAACTTAGTCTGACTTACCAAAAGGAAGATCCGAACTTAAGTACACATGTCGCGTTCACTGCCCTTACCAACTAACTTAATGCGCATAATTCTTCTTTGTTTGTTTTTGGGTAAAGTAGAAAATGAAAATCTTAAGAGATGTCACAATTGCGTGACATGCAGAGAAGTGGAAGAGAGGAACACGATCCGTTCATTGGGGGGGAAGAAACTAAAGTAGATTTGCTTGCTTCGGTCACTTCAAGTAAGTTCAGCTATGGTCTTGTCTTATCTTCATATGCGGACAGTCCAAGGTGTCACTTACTTTTTACCTCAGAGGTGAGAAGTTAGTTGCTTTGATATATACATGATGGGTAATGTTTGCCCCGACCCGACTTCAAGATGGGAAAAACTATGAAAAATCATGTCAATAATTTGAAAGAGGTCTTATCCCCTATTCCCTAACCCTTTTTCGTATAAATAGACCCCTCCATATGCCAAAGCATGAAATGATTGAATTGGCTCAACAACAACAATGTGATAATTACTCTTGTGAGTCAGATAAAGAGGAAAATGCTAATTATAATTAGGAATTTAGGGACTAATTAACATCTCTTTATATTTTTTTTTCCTTAATTTGAAAGATCTTTTGCAAATTTTAGGTTGTTATTGCATTTACAAATTCATACTTGAGTGGTCCCAAGTTCTTATTTGTGTTTTTATAAGAGGTCATCATCAGTTTCATCAATACATTTAACGTTTTTGAATCATGACATGTCATAAAGCGACAACTTATATATTGTTAAACTTAAAACAATGAGCGAGTCGAGTCTCATTCTAATTACGTAAAACAGACTTGAAAGAACAAATCTTGTTTGAGGAAGAGAGATATAATCAACACTATGGTTAATAAATGCAGTGCACGTGGCAATATTACTCTTGAAACCTAGCGTCTACATGTGACACATGATAGTGTCCCAATTACTCTCTTTTTTTCGTTTGTTATTATGCTCCAATTACTTTTTATTTAGAAAGTGAGTAAATCATGTATAAAGGAGACAAAAAAATTCCTAAACTTACTCGATGGAATAAATTATTGTATTGTACTATAACATGACCATGTGTATGGCTAGAACTCAATCAACTAGGACATACATGCGATCACCATTGGAAGGTCTTTGAAATCTATTTTGCTTAGTTATTTAATAACTAAATTAGCAACTATTTGACATATATACTAGAGATGTTTTTCCAAAAGGCTCGAGAAGATTCTTAACCCTAGTGAGTTTTAGCATGCGTTGTCTATGCCATTGTATTAGCTTTGGTTGATCCAGATTGACCTTTTGAAAAGCTATTTCTTTTGGTCATCTTCCAAAAACAACCATGGCCCTACCTCCATCTTCAACAGTCCAACCTCTCTCCTCTCTCACTCTCTATCATCCGTTACCTGCTTTTTTGACATAAAGAAAGAAAAAAAAAGATAAATGCTTTGTGGCTTTTCTAGCCCATTTTATTCTTTAGAAAAACATGGATCTTAAAGTTTAGGAGTAAAAGCAGCTTTTCTTGACAGTAGATAGGAAAATTATACCCTAATCTGAACACAAGCACTAGACTTTTCAACCTTGGATTAATTAATATGATACGGATCACCTACTCTTTTGTTATTGATTAATTTTTTCTATAAAGAGCCAAAGTGGTCAGTAAATGAAGCTGTCCTCGCATAATTAAAGAAAGTTAGAAAGCAGAAAAAGAACTAGTGAAAAAGATTAGATGGCGATGGAT